GCGGTCCCGATGGGCCCTTTCCCACCCACGCGCTTGCCTCGCCAGGGGCCACACGGGACATCGGCTCGGCGCTCACGCGCATGTGCATGCGCCACCGCAGCATCGAGACCAAGCTGCGGCAGTTCACCAAGTGAGTGGGCGCCGCGGGCGGGCAGGGGTGTGGCAGGAGACACCCCTGCTGGCCCTGACCTTGCACCCCGTGTCCACAGCGCCCTGCTGGAGAGCCTCATCAACCCGCTGCAGGAGCGCATCGAGGACTGGAAAAAGTCGGTCAACCAGCTGGACAAGGACCACGCGAAAGGTGAGGCTGGGGCTCGGCCGGGTGCCCGCCCCACCCTGCGGGGACCCAGCACAGCTCTCCTCTCATCACCTGCAGAGTACAAACGGGCCCGGCACGAGATCAAGAAGAAGTCGTCAGACACGCTGAAGCTGCAGAAGAAAGCGCGCAAAGGTAGAGCCCAGAGCTGCCCATCCAGGCACAGCCCCCCGGGGCCCCACTCCATGGACCCCACTGCCTTCTGGGATGTCCCAGGGCATCATCCTGGCCAGAGGGACCCTATCCTGGACACAGGACCCTCCGACCTGTTGGGTGGGACAGAGGGAGCCTCCCTGCACCCAGACCAGGCCCCAACCTCCCCTCTCAGGAGGTGGCAGGAGGCTCCACCAGCCCAGGCGCGCCCCACCCCCCGCCCCCGGAGTGGCTCTGTCCATCGGCTGTCTTTCACACATTCTCTTTCTCTGTCTCTCCTCTTCCTTCCACATCCTTCCTGTAGAGCTACTTGGTAAGTGTAATGTCCATCTCTCCAGCTGCTTCTCCCGTCCTCGTCGCATTTGTCTGTCTCCCCAGCTCAGGGCCATTGGAAAGAGCTTCTTCCGGCCGAGGAGGTCGGCCTAGCGAGGGAGGGGCCTGGGGCACAGTTCCCCGGGGGCCCTGTGGCCACCGCTGGGTCAGTCTGCCAGGTCAAGAGGGGTTGGGCCGCCCTGGGTGGGGGGCACAGGCCTTGTCTGCCTTGCCCCCGCCCACCCGCCTGCCACCCAGAGTTCTTACCTGTCACCCCCCACTTCCTGTCTCATTGCTCCTCTACATCATCCTCTCGCCTCTCTCTGCTTCTCGGTGTCACCATTGCTGTCCTGTGCGTTGCTCCCTGAGCTGAGTGGGGGCCCACATGGAGACACCCCTCTCCCCTGCTCTCCTGACCAGGGCCTGGAGGACAGCTGAGCCCCATGCTCTACTTTGCTCTGTTCCCACCCCACCCCCTCCAGTACCCCAGGAGGCGAGAGGGTGCCATCCTGCAGGCAGTGAGCGTCCTGGGGGGTGGAGGTCTCCTCGGGGCCCCCCCGAGCACAGCTGTTCCAAGGGCGGCCCTGGCGCTGCCCAGGACTCTGCCCACCCCGGGGCCTGGGTGGCTTGGCAGCTTTGGTGTCTTTCCTGTGTACGTGTCTGTCTGTCTTCTTTGCCTGCTCTGGGGACCAGCCCCTCTACACGTCCCAGAGTCCTGACTGCCCTCCCCGGGTCCCTGGCCCCCACGGCAGTGCCCAGCCCCTAGCCAGGGACACCACCACGGGGCCTGAGCCGTGGACGCAGCGAGCGGGCCGGGTCCCCAGCACGGCGTCTCCTCCCCACCCTCCAGGGAAAGGCGACCTGCAGCCCCAGCTGGACAGCGCCCTGCAGGACGTCAACGACATGTACCTGCTGCTGGAGGAGACGGAGAAGCAGGCGGTGCGCCGGGCCCTGATCGAGGAGCGCGGCCGCTTCTGCACCTTCATCACCTTCCTGCAGCCCGTGGTGGTGGGTCCCTGGGGCAGCGGGGCTGTAAGGCATCCCACACGGCCTGGCTGGAGTCCCCTGGGTGCTGCCGTCACCACATCCAAGAATCAGGATTTGGGAACTACTGGGCATGCGCCCGTCTTTTCTTTTTTAATATATTTTTATTGATTTCACAGAGGAAGAGAGAGGGGGAGAGAGAGATAGAAACAATGACGAGAGAATCACTGATCAGCTGCTTCCTACACACCCCCTACTGGGGATCGAGCCCGCAACCCGGGCATGTGCCCGGACCGGGAAACGAACTGTGACCTCCTGGGCCGTGAGTTCTTTTTGGTGACTTGGTGTCAGCAGGCTGGGCCAGGCCCAGGGTTGACCCCGTAACCTTGGAGAAAGGCCAGTCTCGGTGGTCCCTAGCTGGGCGTGTCCAGTGCTAAACACTCCTACCCAAAGGCCTGTCTCAGCTCATCATCACCAATGTGGTCTGGCAGACAGTCACGCCAGCCCCCGGCTGTGCAGGCCCGGCCTCCTGCAGCCCCGGCAGCACTGGCTGTGGGGAAAGGGGGAGGAAGGAGGGGCCAGGTGAAGCCCGGTCCCCCAGGTGGGCAGGCACGGGCAGTGCCGGCGGCCCTGACTCACTGCTTCTTCAGAACGGCGAGCTGACCATGCTGGGAGAGATCACCCACCTGCAGGGCATCATCGACGACCTGGTGGTGCTGACCGCAGAGCCCCACAAGCTGCCCCCTGCCAGCGAGCAGGTATGGCCAGGCCTGGGCACAGGGCAAGGGTGGGGCCGGGGGACGGCCTGCCCTTGGTTGGGGGCAGTAGAGGAGGAAGGGGGGCAGCATTTAGGGAACACTGCTGAGGACAAAGGACCGGACATGTCCTGACACCCACTGTGGGGCATCCAGGGGCACCTGCCCAGGTGAGGGGTGATGTACCCCAGGACCCAGTAGGAGCTCAGACGGCGTGCAGATGGACAGAAGCCCCGGGTTCATGGGGCTTGGTCCTGACCCTGCCCGCCTCACCCCCCACCATGCTCCCACTGCACCAGGTCAGCCCCCGGGCAGCCCTGTGGCATTGCTCTTCCTGGGCACTCAATGCCCAGCACTGCTGAGCCCTTTCCAGGCCATCAGGGCATCACCCTCCAAGACAGGAGGGATCGGAGGCTCAGAGGGGTCTACAACTTGCCTGAGGGGCACAGCAGAGCCAGGATTCGAACCCCCTGGTGTCCTTCATGGTCACGCTCACCTGGCTCCCCTGCTAGCAACAGCGCGTCCTCAGGGGCCCTGCTTCTCCCATATCCCCGGCCTGGCCTGGGCCGGGCTCAGAGCTGACTGTGTGTGTGAACTGAGCCTGGCCCCCTGGGCAGTGTCCCTGAGAAACAGCGGAATCTCCCAGGCACCCCCCCAGCCCTCGGGCAGCCTTGCTTCCCACCCCCAAGTGAGGAGCTTTTATTAGGAAAGGGCTCGGGGGGCTTCAAACTCCCAGGGTCTCCTGCGGGGGCCGGGTTCTCAATTGAGAAGAGAGGAGGGGGGCCCTGGGCCTGCCAGCCCTCTGGGGGACCCCAGGAAATTATACGGCCATGACCTCCATCGCTGTCCCTGTCCAGGTGATCAAAGACCTGAAGGGCTCGGACTACAGCTGGTCCTACCAGACCCCACCCTCGTCGCCCGGCAGCTCCAGCTCCCGCAAGTCCAGCATGTGCAGGTCAGTGGGGGGCAGGCACGGGGAGGCTCCCACCAAACCTGCAGCAAGAGTTGCTGCAGGGCCCACAGTTCACAGTTCCTGTGTCACTGAGGGATTTGCAAGTGGAGAGAGTACACCCTCAGCACAGGGCCGGCGGGGTTTGTGCGGGAGCAGCTACATTTCTGGAGCAGCAACCCCGTGCCTGGGGCCGTGCTCCGTGCTCCGTGCATTTTCCTTACTGAATCCTAACACACTGTTGGGTCTGGGGTTGTCCCCATTTCATAGAAGGGGAAACCGAGACCTAAGACCCAGAGTCCCAGCAGGTAACCATCGACTCTGCCAGGCCCGGCACAGGCTGGGGGAGTCATAAGAATCTCAGGTTGGGGAGAGGCGTGGCGGCTTCTGGGAGGTGTGCTGAGGCCTCCGGCTGACAGACGCTCCGGCTGGCTGGCTCCCGAGAGCTGGTGCCTGGGCAGCCGCCTCGGCCCGAACCCCAGCCCGGCCTCACTTAGTCGCCGGGCACTAGGGCAGGACTTGGAGAAGATGTGTAAGGATCACAGCTCCTTGGGTGGGAAGGCAGTGAGCACAGAGCAAGTCACAGACGCTCCGGCTGGCTGGCTCCCGAGAGCTGGTGCCTGGGCAGCCGCCTCGGCCCGAACCCCAGCCCGGCCTCACTTAGTTGCCGGGCGCTAGGGCAGGACTTGGAGAAGATGTGTAAGGATCACGGCTCCTTGGGTGGGAAGGCAGTGAGCACAGAGCAAGTTTCTCGTTCTGGGGGAGCCCCCTGTGCCGGGCACCCCAGCCCCAGCACCCCCTCGGGCCGGGCACCACTCCTGCAGGGAGAGGAGGGCCGGGTATACTGGACCCGGGTGGTGGCATCACAGGAGGGAGTGCTGATCGCAGGGACACCCCTGACCAGGGACGGGGCAGGGGGGCGTCGGGGTCACACTCAGGAAGCCCTCATCCCTCGGGGGTGCAATGGGCGCAGAGGATGTGAGCGGCAGGGCTGGGCACCCTCGGGGCGGAGGGGACGAGGCAGTGGTGGGTCCAGGACCCACGCAGACCATCCCCACAATCCAGTCAGGGTTGGACGGCAGTCAGACTCTGAGAGGACAGTGTGGAAATGATCAGACCTGTGTCTGGTTCTAGCGCAACTGGAAGCTGGCGCCTGGTGACTCCGTTTCCTTGTTAGCCTAAGGCAGCGGTTCTCAACCTGTGGGTCGCGACCCCTTTGGGGTCGAACGACCCTTTCACAGGGGTCGCCTAAGACCATCGGAAAACACATATATAATTACATACTGTTTTTGTAATTGATCATGATGCTTTAATTATGTTCAATTTGTAACAATGAAAATACATCCTCAGGCGTTGCCGAAATAGCTCAGTTGGGAGAGCATTAGACTGAAAATACATCCTGCGTATCAGATATTTACATTACGATTCATAACAGTAGCAAAATTACAGTTATGAAGTAGCAACGAAAATAATTTTATGGTTGGGGGTCACCACAACATGAGGAACTGTATTAAAGGGTCGCGGCATTAGGAAGGTTGAGAACCACTGGCCTAAGGCCTACTGTTCTAATGGCAGCATAGGAGGCAGAGAGACTGCCTCGCCCCCGGCGTGCCCTGATGGCGGCTTCTTGTATGTGCCCTGACCGGGGGTCTTTGGTGCTGTCCTCTGCCCAGGCCCACCCTGTCCCACGGTCCCAGAACCCAGCTCCCCTGGTACCTGGGTCTCAGGACCTTGTAGTCTAACATTGTCTTTTCCTTCCTTTGCCCCTCACCTGTCTCCCCACCTTCGTCTTTCACCTCCCCTCCCACACACACCCCCGTGTCTCCCTGTCTGGCTGCTGTCCCCCCGTTCACTCCCCCAGCGCCCCCAGCAGCAGTGGCAGTGCCAAGGGTGGCGGAGCCCCATGGCCTGGGGGTGCCCAAACATACTCACCCAGTTCCACCTGTCGCTACCGCAGCCTGGCGCAGCCAGCCACCGCCACCGCCCGCCTCTCCAGCATCTCCTCCCACGACTCTGGCTTCGTCTCCCAGGATGCCGCCTACTCCAAGCCTCCCTCACCCATGCCTTCAGACATCACCAGCCAGGTGAGGGGGTGTCCAGGCCACTGGGATGGGCACACTGGCCTCATGCCAGCCTCAGGCTATTCGCATGCGGGGCCACCACACCGGGGACAGACTGAGTTCACTGCCTCGAGGCTCTAAGGGGACGGGGGAAGGTCTTGGAGCAGCCACACGGCCCCAGCAGTGTCAGCAGGAGGCTTGCGGCCCTGGGAGCTGGGTGGGCAGCGGGCCAGCTCCCTCTACACCTGAGCCTGGCCTAAGGCTCTCCGTCCCTGCAGCCTCCGTGAGATGGACCATGGGAGGTCAGGTCACATGCCCGGCTTCCACTTGGGCTCAGCACTCACCTCTGCTCTCCTGCCCAAGGCTGTCCCCTTGGCACTGACACCCTCCCTGTGTCGGCTCCTTCCTGTCATCACACAGACAAGCTCTAGTGTCATCCTAAAGGCCCTCTGTCCCCCCCCCCCCCCCCCCCCCCCCAACCTCCCCCCCACCACA